GCGCCTAGGGCAAAACCCTAGGTGCATGCGCCAAATGACTTGGCTCCTCCTTTGTGGAGCCATCTCAAACATGGTTATTTGCGTAATTTTTTCCGAAACCCGGTTATTTGCGAAATATTTTTTTAATACTTGGTTATTAATAAAAAAAATTCGGTTGTCGAGTTGATTCTCTGGGTGCACCAAAAAAAAATCTGCAAGTCGCCCAATTTGCGCTACCATTTGTTGGTTTACTTGGGCATTCTGCATATTCGTCTGTGTGGTGCTTTGGATTAGGGGGTTAAAGATTGTACTCATTTGCTGGGCGAGTATTCCCACCATTTTGTGGTTACTATCATCTATCTGTTGCCTTAAAACTGCCTGTGTATTTGTGGTAATATGAGGAAATTGGGCCACATATCCTGGATGTGAATAGTTTCGTGTCATATGATTTACCCCTGAACCTGATCCTTGTAATGGTGAGAAGGTAGATGTTAAAGGGTGTGTGTATGTCGAATTGTTATTTTGAAGTCCTGTCATGGATGTAGTTGGCATGCCATATATTGGATCTGATGTTGGGATTGTGAATCTTGGTACATAGGTTCTAGAGACACTGCCTACTAAAGGTCTGGAGGAAACAGGCGGATTTTGGCTAGCCACAGATGTTACAAAAGGTTTATTTTGTGCGTTTGACAATATGGTTGAAGCACTTGTATTTAGGGGTATGGTTGTAGCGTTCGTAGTCGAAGGGATAATCATAGTCCCTTGACTTGTCATCGTGGCTTCAGTCGTATTCGAAGCATTTGTATTCCCTCCCATGGGGGAAGGAACTTGTTGCGCACTGCTAACGGATGGGTTAGCCATTCTCCTATTGTTCTGCTTTTTTGTTCTAGGATCTGTGGTGTTGGCTATTTTTCCACTCCTTAATTTCATGCAACAAAACAAGTTAAACAACAACTGAAAACTAGACACAGGGTCCACTAGGTGTGCCAATTTGTTTACCTTGTAATTTGGTAAACAACCGCTGATCTTCTAAATCTCTAAAAAAAGATTCATTTACTTGCGAGATCGATCAGATTGATCTCAGGACTATTGTGTTCTAGTTTTTAGAAAAAAGGTTTTGATGATAACTTCTTTAAACGAAGAGAATCACTTTGATATCAAATAAAGTGCTCTTATAAAAACAATAAAATAGAAAACTATTCTAGACTGTAAATCGTAAATAATATAAATGACATGAAGAAATTTCATTAAATGTAAATAACTTTCGAATGTAAATATGGTGCATCATACGTACATGTCTCACTAACTCGTTTCTCTAACACTGGTACTTTGAGTATATTATAAAAATATGTGAACACCTTGAATCATAACATATAAGACTTCTATTTATACTAATTCGACCCTAACGGTCTTTCTATGAGATTACGCCATGTTCGAAACCTTTTACACGCAGACATTCTGGCATTTCCACGCGTCTTTCTGGCGAAATGCATTAGTTTGAAATTTAAACTTCCCGCTCAAAGCTTTTTTTAATTCAACTTTGAATTCAACCAACGTGACTGTCAAAGTATTTCACATATCTTGAAATATTATTTTAAGTTCCTCTTTCGACATATCGAATCATAAGTTTTTTTTCTTTTTACAAAAATAACCTTGTAAGGTCCAATTTCATGTTATTATTATTTTTTAGACCATGACCTTCTCACATCAACTTTCATATTTTTTATCAAATATTGAAATCTTCAGCTAACACATGCAAGTAAAGCATGAATCCTGAAGTAACAAGAGGATGAGATGATAGAAACTCTTAATGAGATCTATACTATGTATGAGGGAGTACCTAGGCCACAAGTGTACTCTTGATAGACTCGCCTATGTGATTGTGGAACTTAGGCCGGTTCCTATAGAATTTCGAGGCAGAATTCCTAGAGCCTTCATTAAACTGGGATACACGTGCAGGACCATTAAAGCACTGGCTATTAGAATACACCTTAAGAAAAGGTTGTGTGCGGGTTTGATGTATGAGATAGAGTTCAAGACATTTGTTTCACTCTCGTTGAATTGGAATCCTACTTGCTATGCAAAGGTTCAAGTCGTAGACACCTATGTTTATGCACAATCTTATAAACGTTTGACGTTACTTCTAAAATCAATTTTTTAAATTCAAGTGGGGGATTGTTGGAACATGTCCGTGTTCTAATATGTTGAATTTAAAAATTTCTCAAGTCCCACATTGTTAGAATATCTTTTTGATTGAAAAAATCATTTAGTCTCACATTGCTCATGTGAGAAATATTAACTAGCTTACTTCACTATATAAGGAGTGCACATGTTTCATTCCAAATTACACCAAAAACTATTCTATTAGTTTTTCCTTCCCCACTCTCATAACTCTGTGTCTCTCGAATTGTCGAAGCACCATCTTCTTCCCCTTTCTTCTTACTCGTTGAACTTTCCGAATATTTTCTTGAATTTTCTTTAGAGAATTATGTTAATTTCTCCTCATTTGAGTTGAGAAATTTTCAAGTTTAATCTTTTAGATTCTTTTTGGAGAATTATTTGAATTTCTCTTTGATGGAGAATTATCATGAGTGGTCAAATGACCATTATTAATTTCTCTTTGGAGAATTATTTGAGTTTCTTTTTGTTTGAGAAATTATTATGACGGATCTTTGTACCAGATACTACGAGTGGTGTCGATACCATATTTGAATGGTCTTGTACTATGAGAGAGTGTATTTCTAGATCGATTATCTACCATGTAAGTAGTAATCGTACAATATAGAACTGAATTGTTTTATCCTGGAGGCGGCGCGGTAGTTCGACTGCTTTGCATAATTTTGAACAGTGCCGCGAAACGTGTTAAAGAGAGCGATCTAGTCCGCGATTCAACCTGCTAATTTTTTCGGTGGCAAATATTTCAAAATTCGAAAGCAACATCAATTAAAAATAAATATTAACCAATCATGAGTAATAATTCTATTGAATTTAATACGGAAGATTACAATTTAATTTTCCTAGTTATGATTAAGAGAAAATTTAAACCATGCAATATTAAAACTGACCATCAATCTAAATTAATTTTTTTTATTTAATATATAAAGAATAGTGTTTTTCTTAAGTTTGGGGAGATTAAGATAAGATGAATCTATCAAAATTTCTTGAACATAAAAGGAAAAAATATATTAAAAAAATTAATAAGATACATCATCAAGAATAACAATACACAAATCCAAAAACATCATAACAACAAATAAATGCTTTAATCAACAATATTAATTAGCTGTTTTTAATTAAAATTTATGATTTAATAACAATATTAAATAGATTTTAATTAAAACTTATTATTTCACTGATACCAACTTTTTACATTTATGTTATAATTTTAATATACTTTTTTCCATTAAAACGATATTCATTTATTCAAATTAATAAAATAAATCGAATAATACAAAATCAAAATATTAGAAATCTAAAAGAACGAATTTGTAAACAAAGTTGTCATACAAATACAAATTAAAAGACTTTTTAAAATTTGTTTTTTCTACTTAATACAATAATTTCTTTGTTCTAATTAAATGATTTCATTTTATTCTTTAATTATATAATTATATGAAATAGGAAAATGAAACTTTATTCAAATATTCAAAAATATATGTTTTTTAATTATTTTTTAATGTATTTGAAATAGATTAAAGAGTTTATAATAAAAAAATGAGTAGATAATTTAATATTGTGTATTTTGATACAAATATTTTTGTAAATGAGAAAAACTTTATTATTGATACAAATATTTTATAAATAAAAATATATATATTATTGATATAAATATTTTTATAAACAGAAAAAAAATATTGTTGATAGAAATTTATTATTGATCTAAATATTTTTATAAATAATATTAAAATAAAAATAATATTTATATAAAAAAATTATTTTTAAAAAAATTTCATTTCTCATATATAAATTTTTTGTACAATTTCAATAAAATAGAAACTTTTTATATTTGTAAAAATATGCATGTGCCACCGTGTGTAAGCACGGTTTTTATTTTAAAATTTTTTAAAAGGTTTTACAAGAATGAGTAAAATTTTTGAAAGTTTGAAGTAAAGGAAAACAAAAGACAAGATAATAAAGTTAATAACTATGAATTTGACAACGTCCTTTTTTCTACCTTTTATTTTTAAAACTAAAATTTTATGTCAATGAATAATAATAATTTTATTTTATATATTAAATAAAAAAGAAAAGAGTACAATATATTGAGAGGTCAAATCTAATTCAGTTAAACCAAATGAAAACTAATAGACATTCCAAACAGAATATAAGTATTATAACAATAGTCTCTATGAAATAAGAGACACTATCTAGCGAACCTAATTATAAAAATAAAATGTGTTGCGGAGATTTTCACGATCTTTATAATAGATAGTGAATAAATTGGCCGTCAACATTAACCAACTCACTTATTAATAATTATATAATATGATTAAACGATAATTTTTTATTAGATGAGAGCGTAAAATTATTTTATATTTATATTATCAGAACATTAACTTTTAACTCTTTTTTAAAATTATAATTAATTAAATTTACAAAGTTTGTTTTCCACACAATATTTAAAAGAGTTACTGGTAATTAAATAATTAAAACCCATTAATTATTTAATTAATTAAGGGTGAGTTTGGATTTGTGCTATCAAATGGAATTAGATGAAATAATTAATGGTAAGTTTGGATGTCTGGTATCAAAATCAAATGGAATTAGATGAAATAAAGCGATAAATAAGATTTTATTTTTTGGATTTGGAAATAATAGATAATGGACGGTGCAGAAGAAGCGTGATAAAATCCATTATATCCTATTTTATTAATTCTTTAATTTTTATTTAAGTTGCAATAAAATAAATTAATTAGTTCTATTCGGAAGTGAAATTATAAATAAATAATATTATATAAGAGCGTTCAATTTGACTGAGAAAACCAAGACACTAACAAGTGCAATTTTACAGACAGAAAAAAATGGTAAATCATTCCAGCTTCTGGACTCAAGCAAACGCGCTTCTCAGGAAGAACTTAACCTTCCAGGTAAGTACAAACCACCATTATCAAAATCGCTTATTCATTATTTTCATCATTATAAAATCACTTATTCATTTCACTTCACTGAGTGTTTTCGTTCTTCCATGCTATGCTACTATATTGCATGATCATGTTTACAGAAACGGAACGTGAAAACCAACCTTCGGCTGATTCTATTCCCAGTGATCCTTTGCATCTTGCTCGTTCTTATTCAAACCTTAATCGACTCTCAATTGGATACACTTGAATCCAAATGCGCTTGCGCCTGTCCCGATAAAAGCACAACATGTAACAATTCGGAGAAGGTTTGTGGAGTTCAGAATTCCAAGCAGAATCAACCTATAGACTGTGTAATTCCTAAGCCACCGGAATGGCCTCCCGTTTTGCAACTTCCTTCTGCCTTTTGCAAGGCTAATGGCACCTGTCCGGTTAAAGTGCTTTTCACCGCCAATAATCAATCCTTTGGACAGAGTATAACATTTATATTTGATTCTTTTGTTTCAAATTTCTACTGTTTCATGTGTGTTTAGCTTCAAATTCATTCTCGAGGCAAAAGTAATTTTAAACTAAACATGCATTTTGCCTTGTTTTTTGCACAGTTTTGTCTGACAATATGTTCCCAAGTGCTCCCATTGTGAATGACTCTGATATCATGGCTAGTTTGGCATGGAATGTGGTGGTGAGTTTTTATTTGCAACTCAGAATATTTATTTTTCTGTTTTGAGTTTAAATGTTTCTTTTAATCAGTCTAGATTTGAATTATTAATTATTGGCTTATTTATGTTTGTTGTTGGTGGTGTAACTTGGAAAATAATATAGGGATCTGAAGCAAATCCTGAGGAGACCTATTTTAATGAACCTGCTTTTACTTCGGATCGTCCCCTTTTTTATGTACAAAATGAGTGCCCTGAGGACAACTCTGGACTCACATTTCCCTACCAGATAGCAGGCACAACTTCGGATAAAGGTACGGAACTTCCTTGAAATGCAATGTATTATCTTAAATTTGCAAGTGTACCTACTTGTGCAGTGATAATAATCTTATGAACAGTTGTGAACAATCAAGGTTCACACTGTAACAGATTGTTTAAATACATTTTTAACAAATGACGGGGAGTAGAATGTTAATGATTGAATTTTTTCCACATGATGATGTAGAAATCAAATGTGCTCAATGTACAAGTTTTTGGCGGAAAAGCTCTTCTGATATCAACAATGAGTTATATAATCTTTATAAAAGAGATAACAAAAGTGAAATCGATGACGTAGCTTCAGGTACTTTTATTATTATGTTTTAACTTACTTGATGTGTGAAAGACAATACTCATTTTTATATATTGTTTTGACATTTTGCAGCTTTTGATTTTCTTGATTCAAATGAGGAGGGGTTCAATATCACTGTCTGGTACAAGACAAACTTCATGCCTAACACTGATTCTCCTACACTGTTGCGAATTCCTCGTTCTGTAAATCTTGTATATATCTAAAACTTATTATAATTGTTGCCTCCTCCATATACTACTATGAAACAAAAAACTTAATCTCAGCTTAAAAAAACACCCAACTTAATAGTCTGTGCTATGAATATATCAATTTTTATTTTATTTTATATATACAGTTCAGTCCAAACATGTACTTGATTCATTATCATCGGAATATATTTGGCCCGGCAAAAAATGAATAATTTGAATGGGAAGAAGTTAGCAAAACTATGATTATGATGATGCGCATGCAGTATTGAGTTACTATATTGCAAGTTTTAACACTAATTGCATTATTAAATTTCACTTACCTAACATAATGATAATAATTCCCCTTTCTATACATTTTCCCACTTTTTTATTTTAAAAATATATGAGCCTTCTTTACCTGAATCTTGGAAGATAATAGTGACTGATATTCAGTACCATTATGCATGCAGATATCAAATGCCTACCTGCAGTTTCTGCGTGGACCCGAGACCAAAATGTTATTTGAGTTTGTAAAGGAAATGCCAAAATTTTCAACCACAGTTAGCATTGAGATAGCTTCTCTCCTGGGCGGTCTGTTCTTTACATGGGTTGTCCTGCAACTTTTTCCGGTAAGTGCAGAAATATATGAACAAAAATATCAGCAAGAATAGGCAGCTATTGACCAATTTTAGTTGTTTTTAAATAGCTATGATGTTCTTTATTGTTTACCTGTCTCTAAATCACCTTTATATGTTACCATGATGAAGGTAAACTTTCCTTTTGAATTTTCTGCTTATGGTACAATACATGATTCAGATTCAATGTCAACAGTTGTATATAACATCCAATGCAAACACAACAGAATATATGTTTTAGTGTATTTATCTGTTCAACATGAATAAGATCTACATGTATTTTATGTAGGTTATTCTGACATCACTGGTTTATGAGAAGCAACAAAAACTAAGAATCATGATGAAAATGCATGGTCTTGGGGATGGACCATATTGGATGATTTCATATGGTTATTTTCTTGCCTTATCAGTGAGCTACATGTTGTGTTTTGTGATATTCGGCTCAGTCTTAGGTAAGAATATATCCATTTAACTCTCCTTTCTTGGCATTTTTCCATTCTGTCTGATACTTCTGACTTTATTTTCAGGACTAAAATTCTTCTACTTGAATGACTACAGCATCCAATTCGTGTTTTATTTCATCTATATAAACTTACAAATTTCTCTGGCATTTCTGCTGTCTTCCTTTTTTTCAAATGTTAGGACTGCTACAGGTTTGTTCATTATGTGTGTATTAGTGTTTTATTCTCTCAGATCTCATTACGGACTTTTTTTTTTATATATTTGCAGTGACAGCATATATAGCTGTCTTTGGAACGGGGCTATTAGGCGGCTTTCTTTTCCAATCTTTTATAGATTCACCATTTCCAAGTAAGTTATATGACTAAATCCACCTACATATAATAAATGCCAAACATTAGCATTTTTTGTTCAAATCCAAGACCTCCTCCCTCCCCAGTAAACCCTATATTGACCAATACTTTCCATTGAGTTTAATCTTGTTACAAGTAAAACACAACTTCCAAACATCAGCTTGATAAAACATAGAACTTTGGCAACTAGTACTCCCCGATTCACAGAAGTAGTCAATGTCCTCTTTTGTCTCTCCTTGCTTCTCTTGGTATGACCCCAAACAGTAATATAAGCAATACAAGGAAGAAGTGGAGTTATAAGTTGGTTTAGTTGAGGCACCATACTAATTTGATACAAAATAAGCAACATAAGGAATAAGCACCATTACTTTACTAGCAATGCGACGTTTCTCTGAATTGAGACAGACTTGGCAGTTAAGGTTATATAGCTTACTAGTGAGAAATTCAGAAATTGTTCAGTTCTCTACAAATTTAAAAAATTGACTGATATGATCAGTGATTAGAAGTTTTATCTACATAGATTTCACATCAGTCATTTTTATGTGTCACATGCCTCTATTTGCAGCTTCTAACCATCTAGTTTGTTCATTTCTTCTATCCTATATCTGCAGGAGGATGGATCATTTGTATGGAGTTGTATCCTGGGTTTGCTTTATATCGTGGGTTGTACGAGTTTGCACAGTCTGCAGCCAATGCTAGTAATTCGGGTGCTTATGGTATGCGGTGGCAGGATCTAAGTGATAGTTCCAATGGCATGAAAGAGGTCTTAATCATCATGTTTGTTGAGTGGAAATTAGTGCTTTTTGTTGCTTATTACATCGATCAAGTATTGTCAACGGGAAGTGGAAAAAGTCCATTTTTCTTCTTGAAAGGATTTCAGAAAAAACCTCCTTTGTCATTCGGTAAGCCTGGTATTCAAAGGCAGGGGTCTAAAGTTTTGACTCAGATAGAGAAACCAGATGTCATCCAAGAGGTGAGTTTTATCTGTACTGAATAAATATGTTCACCTTTTAGATTATAAAATTAAGAAAGCTAATGTCAATTAAAAGGGGTGCATTTAACGTGCTGCATCAATCAGGAGGAGGATTGTGATTTACGAAACATAGAGAACAAAATAACTTTCCTTTTAGTCACAACCTTTTCCTATGTTTAAACATCAGTTTTGTATTCAAAAAAATTAACACCAAGGTCTGAGTTTTGTTAGTGCAAAGGTGATGAATTTGAGGAAGAAGATGAAAGGGAATAAATGCAATAAAGCTGACAACAAATGATTGGAATTGATTGATATAAATGTAATCCTAATACACCTATTTATACACAAATAATAATGCCACATAGGCCCTAATTGTAAACTTATCTTTAACTAACAAAATACTAAATTACCCTCTAATACCATCCCATAATTTAGTAATTTATCAGAAGTTAACAACACCAATTTCATCTCTTAAGCGCAGAAATTGGTCTGTTTTTGTTGCCTTCGTCAGAACATCTGCCAGCTGCTTCTGAGTGCTACAGTGCAGAACTTCTAGCACTCCTTTCTGCACTTGACTTCTCAGAAAATGAAACTTCGTCTCAATGTGCTTGCTTCTGCCATGTAGAACTGGATTCTTTGCAAGATTAATTGCAGACTTGTTGTCAATCATCAGCTTCAGAGGTTCCTCAACTTCAACCTTCAGATCACGCAGCAGATTCAGAAGCCAAACTGCTTGACAGGCAGCTACAGCACCAGCAATGTATTCAGCTTCACATGTTGACAGAGCCACAACAGGCTGTTTCTTGGAACACCAAGAAATTGGACCTCCCAGAAACTTAAATAAGTACCCAGAAGTGCTTCTTCTGTCGACTCTGTCTCCACACCAATCAGAATCAGAATAACTCAGAAGTTCTGATTTGATCTTTCCTCCAGAAGGAAATAACACTCCATAATTCAGAGTTCCTTTTATATACCTCAGAATTCTGACAGCAGCTTGGTAATGAGACCACTTTGGTTTGCTCATGTATCTGCTGACCATTCCAACTGCGTAACAAATATCAGGTCTGGTATTGCATAAATACCTCAGAGAACCAACCATCTGTTTGAAGGTTGTAGCGTCCACATCCTCTCCATCAGAATCAGAGTCCAACTTCTGATTCGTATCAGCAGGTGTGATAGCAATCTTGCAATTTGCTAGCTCAAATCTCTTCAGAAGCTCTAGTTCATACTTCTTTTGATGCAAAATGATTCCTTTCTCAGAGTATATAAGTTCCATCCCTAGAAAGAAACTCATTTTTCCAAGATCTGTCGTTTCAAACGCCTTCATCAGAACTTTCTTGAACTCAGCTGTTTCTTGTTCAGAACTTCCTGTAAGTAATATGTCATCAACATACAAACAGACCAGAATCATATTACCTTCTGAAGTATGCTGAACATAAACACCATACTCCATCTCACACTTCTGAAACCCTTGTTCCTTGAAAAACGAATCAATCTTCAGATTCCAAGCTCTGGGCGCTTGCTTCAGTCCATACAGAGCTTTACTTAACCTGTATACCATCCCTTCCTGATTCTTTTTCACAAATCCAGGAGGTTGTGACACATAAACTTCTTCCTGTAATGGACCGTTCAGAAATGCAGACTTCACATCCAGATGTATCAAAGGCCAATTTCTGTTTGCAGCTAAAGCAATCACCAGTCTGATTGTTTCGTGTCTAGCTACAGGTGCAAACACCTCAAAATAATCTAGTCCAGGTTTCTGAAGAAAACCTCTGGCCACTAGTCTCGCTTTATGTTTGCCAATTGATCCATCTGGCTTTAGCTTCTGCTTGAAAACCCATCTGACGCTGATGGCTTTCTTGCCTTTTGGAAGTTCTGTCAGCTTCCAAGTCTTGTTTCTTTTAATTGCCTCAAGTTCTTCTTTCATGGCATTCAGCCAAACTTTCTTCTTGAGTGCTTCTTCAATACCCACTAGTTCAGAATCTACTAGCATGGCACACTGAACGATTTCACCTTCAGAATCTACTTCAGTATCATGCAACATGCTAAAATCTGCAAACTTACTTGGTATTCGTCTGATTCTCTGTGGCCTCTGGTCTTGTTCTGAAGGTTCTCCAGAATTCGGAACAATACTGGCTTCTGAACCTTGTCCAGAATTACTTCCTTCAGAATTACCACCTTCAGAGTTACTTCTGGAAATTTGTTCTCCAGACCCTATGTCTTCAGAGTTTTCCCTTCCAGAAGTAAAATCACCACCAGATTCTGGATCATCATCAGAATCTGGATCAGAATCAGATCCACTATCAGAATCTCCCTGAGATTCTGACTCATCTTCAGAGTCTTCTTCTTCTGACTCTGACTCGTCTTCAGAAACTAACCCTGGTGTTGGCACTACACCAGAATCTGATTGAAGCTTGTTCCAATCCCATGTTTCTGACTCTTTCACAACGACGTCTCTGCTGATTTCAACTTTGTTGGTTTCTGGACAATAAAGCTTGTAGGCACCTGTACTGTGGTACCCCACCAATAACATTGTTTTGCTTCTATCATCCAGTTTTCGTCTTCTAGCCTCTGGAATGTGTTTGTAGCACACAGAACCAAACACCTTCAGATGGCTGACACTTTGCTTGTCTCCACTCCATTTTTCTAAAGGAACAGTTTCCTTCAGCTTCTTTGTTGGACACCTGTTCAGAACATATGCTGATGTGGCAACAGCTTCTCCCCATAACATGTGAGGTAACTTCTTCTCTTTCAGCATACTTCTGGTCATATCAAGCAAAGTTCTGTTTCTTCTTTCAGCGAGACCGTTGTGCTGAGGAGTATATGGAGCAGTGACCTCATGTTCTATTCCATTCTCCTCACAGAACTTCTGGAACTCTGTAGAGTTATACTCACCTCCACCATCTGTTCTCAGAATCTTCAGCTTCTGACCACTCTGCTTCTCAGCCTTCACCTTGAATTTCTGGAACTCAGTAAACACTTCATGCTTGAACTTGATGAGTGTTACCCATGTCATCCTTGTGAACTCATCCACAAAAGACACGAAATATTTGTTTCCTCCAAGTGAAAGTACTGGAAATGGTCCACACACATCAGAATATACTACACCCAGAGCATGCTTTGCTCTGGGGGCTACTTCTGACGCAAATGGCAATCTTGGTTGCTTGCCTTTCATACATATCTCACATGACTTCTGAGGCTTCACAATCTTCGAAATGCCATGTACGAGCTTCTTTGAACTTAGATGCCCTAAGCTTCTATAGTTCAAGTGCCCCAACCTCTTGTGCCACAACTTACTGTCTGCTTCAGCGCCTTCTGCACTGAGACACTCCGCTTCAGAAGTTTCTACATTCACTTTGAATGTTCTGTTGCTTCCCTGCTCAGACTTCATAATCAACTTCTGATTAGAATCATACAACGTCAAGAGGTTGTCCTTCATAACCACTGAAAAACCTTTCTCAATAAGCTGACCCACACTCATCAGATTGCTTTTAATTCCAGGAACGTACCAGACATCTTTGATCAGAATGTTTCTTCCATTCTTCACTCTGACTCTGACATTTCCCATACCTTCTGCATTAAGGTACTTATCATCAGCACATCTGATCTTTGTTCTCCTTCTGGAGTCAAAGTCTGTCAGCCATTGTTTGTTTCCAGTCAAGTGATTTGAACAGCCAGTGTCCATATACCACCAATCTCCTGAACAGTTTCCATCAGAATCAGAGGCCATCAGTAGCACAGGTTCATCATCAGAATCTTCTCTGGCTATATTTGCTTCTTCTGATTTTCTTCCTTTGTTTCTACAGTCTCTGGCAAAATGCCCAAACTGTTTACAGCAGTAACATTGAACCTTCTTCTTGTCATACCTTTCCTTTCCCTTCTGATATTTCTTTTCATCAGAAGTTGAGGTTTCTGACTTCTGGAATTTATCACCATGTCTATTCTGCTTCTGGTCCTTCTTGACAAAAGAAGCTTTCAGAGCTTGCTCCACTTCCCTCTCAGAAGTTCTTTCAGTCAGACGCAACTCTTGTGCTTCTAGACTGCTTTGCAACTCTTCTATTCTCATGGTTTCCAGATCTTTAGAGTGTTCAATAGAAACAACAATATAATCAAACTGAGGCGTAAGTGACCTCAGAATCTTTTCTATGATTACCTGTTCAGAAAGTGCTTCTCCACAAGCCTTCATTTCATTAGTAATCAGAATCAATCTGGAAATGTATTCAGAAACTTTCTCACTGTTTTTCATGCTGAGATTTTCATATTGTTTTCGCAGGGACTGAAGTTTTACCTTCTTTACTGATACATCTCCACCATAACATCTGGTCAGAATATCCCATGCCCCTTTCGACGTCGTCGAATCAACAATCTTCTCAAACACATTTTCATCCACACACTGATGGATGAAAAACAGTGCTTTCTGATCCCTCTTCCTTGTAGCTTTTTCTTCTGATTTCTGTTCTACAGTAGCATCAGCTGCTGCTGGAACATAACCTTCAGAAACAAGGTCCAGAACATCCTGAGCACCAAACAGCACACTCATTTGAATCTTCCATCTGTTCCAGTTTTTACCATCAAAAACTGGAAGTTTAGTGTTTAAACTACTGCCTCCATTCATCTTAAACCTTTGCACAGAAAAACTCAGATCTCACTCAGTGTTTCCCAAACCCACAGAATCAGTGTGATTCTGTTTCAGATTTTTGTTCAAGAATCAAAAAATCAAACACACAGCTCACTATCACTCGTGTTTCCCAGAGTTTCAGAATCAAACCAAGAGCTCTAGATACCAATTTGTTAGTGCAAAGGTGATGAATTTGAGGAAGAAGATGAAAGGGAATAAATGCAATAAAGCTGACAACAAATGATTGGAATTGATTGATATAAATGTAATCCTAATACACCTATTTATACACAAATAATAATGCCACATAGGCCCTAATTGTAAACTTATCTTTAACTAACAAAATACTAAATTACCCTCTAATAAGTTTTACATAAATAGATCAACTTCAGTGGGGTTCTTCTTAAAATGTATTTTGAACTTTAAGAACCACTTCTTAACATTTCAGCTTTGGAGATGAATGCTTTGGTTTGCCACACAGGGCTTACTTACATGGATAATGTATTAAATAGTTTTCTTTTTCTGTCTTAAGAGGGAGAAGGTGGAGCAGCTACTACTTGAACCAACCGTTAATCATGCAATTGTTTGTTACGACCTTAAAAAATTCTATCCAGGAAGGGATGGAAATCCAGGGAAATTTGCAGTGAGAGAATTGTTCCTTGCTGTGTCTCGAGGGGAATGCTTTGGTATGCTTGGTCCTAATGGTGCAGGGAAAACTTCTTTTATTAGTATGGTCAGTTAAATATATTCTTTTATTCAATATATTCTCTTTTTATTTTTTGGTGAATTACATGTATTCAAAAAGATGCTTGGTCCACACATATGAGAATGTATGACTATGGACCTCTGGCTCTGATGCACTCAGTTCAGTATCTTACGAAGTTCCACTGTAATTCAATGAATAATTTTTCATCCTTTGAATGGCTTTCTCTTTGATTTATAAATTTAATCATCTTATGTGTGCTTATAGATGATTGGTCTCACAAAGCCAACATCTGGTGCCGCATATGTTCAAGGCCTAGACATAAGAGCTCATATGGATGAAATATATACTAGCATGGGAGTATGCCCACAGCATGAGTAAGCTAAAATTTCCTCCAATGCTTATGCTTTTCCTGAAATCAAATTTGTATCAATTTAAAGAAATTTGTAAATTTTTTCCTCGTGATATTATAGCTTGCTATGGGAAAGCTTGACCGGTAGAGAGCACCTACTTTTTTATGGTAGACTAAAAAATCTTAAAGGTTCCGTCTTGACTCAAGTAAGTTCATTCGACAGGAATTCTTTATGTTAAGAAGAGTCTGGATCTATAAAAGATAATTGTAGTTAAATGCAATTTGAACAACTTTCTCTTTTGCTGGCATTTGTTTTGTCTGGCAGGGAAAATTTTAACTATTTATCTTCCATTCTATTGCTACAGGCAGTAGAAGAATCTTTGAAGAGTTTAAACCTTTTCCATGGAGGGGTTGCTGATAAACAAGCTGGAAAATACAGTGGAGGGATGAAAAGGAGGCTTAGTGTTGCAATTTCATTGATTGGGGACCCCAAAGTTTGTTTTTCTTTTCAATCCAATTTGATCATTTTTTCCTTTTCATTTTTTTTAATAAAAAAGAAGATTCAAGTTTTCATATTTTTTAAATGCCAATTCAAATTTAGGTTGTTTATATGGATGAACCAAGTACTGGATTGGACCCTGCTTCAAGGAAATGCCTATGGAGTGTTATCAAGCTTGCGAAAAGAGATCGTGCAATCATTCTCACTAGTATTCTCTCACTCTTTCATGGATTTTATAGCACTATATTTTGCTTCTAGTTTATGCTTTAGATATCTTATTGATTCCATAACAACTTGTGCGTTCTTTCTTTCCCTCTCAATGTATAGATTGATAAATCTATCTTTTTTGCTTTCAGCACATTCTATGGAAGAGGCAGAGGCCTTATGTGATCGATTAGGAATTTTTGTAGATGGTAGCTTGCAGTGCATTGGAAATCCAAAAGAGGTACATTGCTCATGTGATATGCTTTATCAAAATGAAACGGGCTTGCGTATAAACAGCCTGACTTTTTTTTTTTTGCTTCTTATGTTTTGTCATAGCTGAAAGGCAGATATGGAGGAACTTATGTGTTCACAATGACAACATCTTCCGATCACGAGAAGGATGTGGAGAACATGGTACAACAGCTCACCCCAAATGCCAACAAGATATACTGTCTCTCTGGTACACAGAAATTTGAGCTACCAAAAGAGGATGTTAAAATTGCCAATGTATTCCAAGCAGTTGAAGTTGCAAAAAGAAGGTTTACTGTTTTTGCATGGGGTTTAGCTGACACCACATTAGAAGATGTCTTTATTAAGGTTGCACGCGAGGCTCAGGCATTTGATACCTTGTCATAATTTTTACTCCCTTCAAGGTTAAGATTATATCTGAATTATACCTAGAAATCCATTTAACAAACGTTGGAGTGATTTACCTTCAGAAATTTTGCCTTGACGATGACATGAAACCTTTACATGTCATATCACTGCAAATATGCTAATATACTTAATATACTAAATAATATAAGATTAGATGGTTCAAACTATTTTACTCATCATATATGCTAAACACTACTAGACAAATGATATTTGATTACTTATTCACGCTGATTTGTGGTTAACGCAATCACTTTATTTTGAGAGTTGGTAATTAATTATTTCTTGAGTTATAATTTTGGTTTGAAAGTTTCTAGTTAACTCTAAATTGAGGTATCATGTACCGTTAAGTGAACTTAGTTCATACTTGTACATAGAGGTGAAAAATAGTCAGGCCGATAACAGGGGTCTATGGTCTAGCCTACATAGGCTCAGGCTATGGCTTAGTCTACATAGGTTCAGGTTAGACTTAGGCTTTTTTATAAGCTTGTTTTCACAAGTCCTCTTAAATAAATAGTCTCACAAAACTTATGCTAATTGGTAAGTTAAAATAAATCAATGCAAACAAACTTTTAGTTTCATTGTTTTTTAGTCTGTTAGTCTATTTGAACATTATTTAAATTATTTATTTACATATGTCTAAAATAATAGGCTTTTATGTAAGCTAATAAGTTAACTAGACCTTAGAAAAAGTCTGACTCAGGCCTAAAAATAAGCCCAGCTCAGGCTTGACAAAGTCTAGCTCGACCCAATATATTTCCACTCCTAATTATACAAGGACATCTGGTATAGGATTTCGGATTCGAACATGTGTCATCCTATTTATTCATCTTTAAAGGATGAATTTCAGTCATAAAATTACATGACAAAATAAAATTGAGTTATCAATATAGTTTGAAAAGTTTGTTATTAATTTTGTGTTGAGTTGTAACTTTGATCTTAACGTGTGTAATTAATTTTGTGTTGAGTTTTAACTCTTTGGTAAAATTGTAACTAAATTTGTGTTGAGTAGTAATTTTATTTTGAATGTTTGTGATAAGCCTCGCAATTGAAGAAAGATGTGGGAGACTATCAAGCTGTTGTAGATCTGCCTGCAGGTATTGGGGAGGATCTAGATGACATTACTCAGTCTGACAAGGTGTTGTTATGGAAGGATAAGCTTGAAGAGGGACAACATGTGAGATAGTGGTTAGTGCAATGGAAAGGTATGGATGCAACTGATGCTACTTGGGAGACCGAACTACTACTCAAAAGTCAGGTTTCAGACTTGTGCCTTAAGGACCAGGCTTCCTTTGAAGGTTTGGGTAGTGATAAGTCCACTACAATAGAGGATGACACTTTAAAGGGCTTTAAGCATGATAAGCCCAAGGTTTGGAGAGTTTATGAAAGAAAGAAAAATAGAGTTGTGGAGAACAGTTCCACGTAAACCCACTAAGGCAGTTTAGTTAGAAACTTCTCCTTAAGAGTAAGAAGGCGGGATAGTGTGGGAGGAAACGTTCATTGTGGGTTAGCATTTTGGCATATAAAGAAAAATTGTTTTCTTCTTTCTTTGAGAGGAGCTCTTATCTTTAGAATTGTAATAAATAATTCATTCTCATTTTAATTAATAATATCATTCACATGCTTACTCCTCTTCTATTCTACTCTGCTTTATCAATTGGTCTGATCTACTGTTTTCACAGTGTGGCCGGTTGCCGGAGACACAATTTTTGGGATATTTTGCTGGGGAATTACACCACGACATTCGATCTCGTGTTCGCACGTTCAAGCCAATAAACTGTTACCAAGCTATGCAACTTGCATGTTGAGGAAGAGTTTACATATTGGAATAATTCAAGTCAAAATAATGGGTCACGGGTCAAAGTTGGATACAATGCTTTAGCGCCTCGTTCACCTAAGCCCATGGGTTGCTCTGAAAGGTGACCCACACGGACCAGCAAGTTCACTCAAATCGGAGTCAACTGGGGCTTTCGGTCGAACCTGTTTTCAACCATTGAGTTCATCTTTATTAATCAACTCCATGAATCACACGACTATTTCAACCACCAGTTCAAAGGGTAACATCGACGAGGATCTTCGCCGGCCTCCGACACGTGTTGTGCGTAATTTTCCAAATTCGGAGGTACAAGAGAGACGCGTGAAAGGTCTTTGCTTCCGTTGCAATGAGCGATGGCACCCGCTCCACCAGTGTGCCAGCAAACAACTTCGTTTCATTTTGTTAGGTGACGATGAGACGATAAACGATCAAGGGGAAAATGTAGCCTTAAAAGCCATTAATGGAGGGGTTGAAGAAGTCTATGACCTTGAATGCAAAGAGATGAGAGTGTTTGGCATATCTGATTCTAGATTTTCTGGAACAAAGACTATGCGTGTGGAAGGATTACTGAAAGGAGCTTTTGTGCTGGTGTTAATTGACAGTGGTACCATCCATAACTTCATCACACATGTCGTCGTGGACGCTTTGGGTAGTTCTGTATCTCCTACAAAACCAGTAGGTGTGTGGTTAGGAGATGGTCATAAGATCATGACTTTTGGTACTTGTGATGACATGTTGTTAACTATTGGTGACTTAAATATGAAGCTTCATGCTTATGTTTTAGAATTGGATGGTGTGGATATGATTCTTAGTGTAACTCCTGGAAATTCATTAAATTATTTAAATGAATTATTGAGGATTTAAATTGTTGGAATTTAGTCGAAGAAGGAATTATCGGAATAATTCTTAGGAGCATTATTGGATTGTTAGAATTGATAATCCAATAATTAGTCAATTTAGTCAAGAGAAATTAATATTGGATTTAATGTTGATTTTAGTAGAATATTATTTTATTAGTTGGGTCAAGTGGGGTGTGTGAAATAGCAAGATTAGAAATAGAATTAATAGGCTCATTAAAGTTACTAGTAGACCTATTATTATATTAGGTTATAATATATAGAGGTTAGCAACCAAAAGCAAAACAATTATCACTTAGCAGTTGAAGAAGCAAGGGTTTGGAGGCACCAAGTGGGAGGTAAGAAAATTTAGAGAACTCGCCGTCAAACCAGTTGCAGTTTCAACCGGAGAATTCGATCGACCGGAAAACCAAAAGGTAAGGGTGGGGTTTGGATTTTATAACCGGGAATATGATGTTTGATATGTGGGTTAGAGGATTGTTGTTTTTGTTCTTGAATTGGATGATGTATGATGAAGATTTGATGCATTTGAATGAATAATGACGTTATGATATTATTTGATCGATGTAGTAAAAGAGTATAATGTTAGGTGATGATTTAGTATGTTTATAATGAGGTTTGTAGGACTGTAATTAGATTCCTATAGTGAAATTACAAAAGAAACGCAGAAAATTATGCAGAAAATCGCAGGATGCGTCGACCTCAAACTGGATGAGTCGATACAAGGAGGCTGTTAGACTCAGGATAAGTCGATGCATGCAGGGCTTGCGTCGACGCATGTTAAGTATAAGACTCAAGATGAGTCGACGTGAAGAGAGGATGTGTCGATGCATGATGAGTACAAGACTCAGGATGAGTCGACACGAAGAGTGCATGTGTCGATACATGCTGTATTGAAAACCAGAATGAGTCGATCCATAAGGAGGATGTGTCAACTCATAGTATGCAGGAGAAGCAGGACGCGTCGACCCATAGTGTTTTGTGTCGATACATAATGCTGGATTTTTGTCAGAATTGACTTTTAATTGTTGTAACTTGAGTTTTAGGATGTTGTTTGAGATGCCGTTCGAAGCGTTGATTAGCTAAAGCGATGAATATTATTCTAGATGATTTAAATGATGGATAAGAAGTGTAATTCCAGTAACCAATTTAGGATTGAGAAATTAATTATGTTGTTGGTCGTTGTGCTGATTTTTGGACAGAATGATGAACAGTAGATGTTTAGAGGCTGTTGTTAGAATTATGACAGTAAGATTAGTGACAATAACGATATAAATTAGTAGAATAACAGGATGGGTTACTGTACTATTATTATACAGTTGAGTATTAGTGAGATTTTATTGATGAAGTTGTGTTCGATGATTTTTGTGATAATAAATGATGTTTAATAAATTATTTTGAGATGTTTATGAGATGTTGTTATTTTGAGATGATTGAGATGTTGTTGTTCTGAGATGTTTATGAGATGTTGTTGTTTTGAGATAATTGAGATGTGATTGAATATGTGAAGTGTTAGGCTTATTGCCAGTGATGCAGGGATGTAGGCGAATTCCTCGTAATGAAGTTTGTGGTGAATGATATATATATGTGATGTTGTATGTTACATGAGTCTCATACATTTGCATTTTGTGAAGGCCTGTATTGGCGGATTTGTGAAGTAGGCTTATGCCTTGTGCCTCTATTAATTGACAATTAGTGAAGAGGGCTGAAGCCCTGTTGGTACCACATACATATGCACAGTTGTGTCGCATTCGAATTGCATTTTGAATCGCAAATGATAATTGTGAATGTTTATTGATTGTTGTGTGTTGTTGAGAAGCGGTGAAGTTTATAATGCTCTTGTCTAATATATTAATTATCATAATCTTATTTATATTATTCGATGTCTCACCCCTTTATTTGTTTCGCCGTTGCCTTTATACTGGTAACATGCAGGTAACGAGGAGTAGAGACTTAGTAGCTTGTTGGTGTCGTCGCTCTGATACGTAGCACTCGGGGGGATGAACGCTTATTTGATTTTATGATGTTTTAAGTTTAATTCAAGTTGTTGTTTTAATAAGTTGTTTTCTTTGAATTAAGTTGTTTAAAAGATGCTATGTTTCCTTTTAAGTTTTAAAGTTATGAATCCGCTGCATATTTATGGAATCAAGTTGAAATACTTTTGAAGACTAATAAATTGTTATAATTTCTTTGGATCAATTTGTGCTATGTATCTATTATGATAGGTCTTTATGTTGTTGGTTTTTGGAATGAGAATGTAATGCCCAATGTTTGCGGAAATTTTGGCACTCTGATTTTAATATAATTGT